TAATTTTCCCGTAAACCCTTCGAAAAATTCGTAATAAGGAATTTATAACGATTTAATCAATAAAATTAATTAATGATAAATCCGAATGATAATCAGTAAACAATGTTTGTAATAAAGATAACCACTAATGATAATCAGTAAACAATGTTTGTTATAAAGATAACCAATTAATAACGAATTTGAAAGGTATTATGATTAGGTCTCTTTGAGATCACTATGAGACCGGGAGTTCTCCTAATAAGTGAACTGCCCGGTAGTTGCAATTTAAGGGTCAAATACGGCTTAGTGTGCTAAAAAATTTCGGAAAATTTCAGAAGAAAAAAATGCGCGAATTTTCGAAAATACGAATTTTCGGGAATTTCCACCGTCAAAATCCGATTTTTAAAAGCCTAAACCTATTTTCGGAATTTCTCAAACAAGGGGAACGAAAGAAAAAAAAATTCGCAAAAATTTCGGTCCCAACCCTAATTTTCCGCGTTTCCGCGAAATTTCCGGATATACGGTCCCAAAACGTTCGAATTTCCCAAGTTGATCAAATAGCCAAAGATTTCGTAACCCTAACTTCCAATAACGAAATATAACGGAACTACCGTTTAACAAAATAGCAGATTTCACAGAATGCTGAAAAACGGAAAGCCGAAATGGAATTCAGAATGCCGAATTAACAGACTACTGCGTCAACCCTTTATTTCGTTAAAAAAAACGGAAATCCGATTTTCCTCATCTCGGATGGAATCTCTCGGAACCTGATTTACATGGCTTACCTATTTGAAACAGAATCCGAAAATGTAATCCAGAATGCTGAATCAAATGCAAAAAGAAAAAAAGAAAATAGCGGTAATGCCTAATTACAGAATACCGAGAAAGAAAAAATTTTGCAACTTTGAACTTGATAATAATTCAGCGCCGTTTTAGAAGATCAAACGTGATAACCTAATTCTAAAACGGTCTTAACTGGTGAGCAGATCCGTTTTGGTCTGCTCCGATACCAAAACTGTTACATACTTCAATGAGTATGGGCAGAACCAAACATCAACCAATATAGGATGAGCATTTACGCAGCGGAAGTCTGATAACGAACTGACTCACATCGACTGACTCACATAGAATCACTCCACACACATACAATCGTGAGATGGTGGGGTCTGAGCCATACAAAGAAGGTGCTCAGCCCCGTACACAACATACACAGATGAATGGGGGAGGAGAGACGAAGGAGGTGGGGTAGGTAGACAGCACTGAAAGTCACCGAGATAGAATCTGATAGGTCACCGATATGGTAGTCCAAAATGTCATCCAACAAGATCAAARTGTCGAGGACGATAGGTCACCAATGTCGGAGGTACAGAGTCCAAATGTAACCGGTGTCCGAACTGTGATGCAGCCGAGTATCAGCCCCAACAATCTCCAAGTCTCCGATCAGGTAAGTACCACAGTCTCATATCACCGAAGTCCAACTCTGATCTCTGTCCAACTGGATAGTCTCCAATCTGAAGAAGAAGAAGAAGAAGAAGAAGAAGA